GCTCTCGCTGCTGCCTAAGTCTGTCTTGTTCCCCCTGCGCCCAGCGATTCTGTGCTTGCTGTTCCCCCGCCGCAGACTCTGACTGTAGTCGCAAAAACTCGAGCATCCGTTCGCGCACTATGCCGCGCTGAGCCGGCTCGTGTCCCGGTGCACGCTCGACGTGAGGGGGTGTGCGCTGATCGTGGTGGCGGCGGCAATACCTATACTTTCCACCACTGCTGGTATTGCATAGCTGATAATTCTTCGTCAGACCACAGCAGCGGCGCCCCTCGGCGTGTTCCCGGCGTTCCTCCGCCGTGATGGACCCCGCCTTTGGGTCCACCCACATCGCTTGCCCCTGGTGAGCCGCACAAAATCCTCCAGCAGCCGGCGGTCTGGTGCAGCCGCTCTGGATGAACCCGAAGCATTCCGTGTGACCGGGGGTGGTATGCGCATACTCGGTGTACGCAGGGGGTGATTCAGAGTCACTCCAGTAATGCTCGTCAGACATTGAGGTAAGTGGACGGTTGGCAATGGACCTAGGTGGTAGTGGGGAAGAGGAAGGAAAGGCGACCCACGAACAAAGACAATGTTATCAAGCACCATCTTGCCTTTTTTAGGCCTATTTACCACACGCGCCTCGAGGCAAACTTGACAGTTTGGGGTTTCAATCCCTTTGTGAATTGTTTTTCTCGAGTTAAGGCCTAGAATGCTCATCGATTCACAGGAAAGGCACACAAGGTCCTAATGTCAGTACATTCCGTATTTCTCCGATGGTACCGATTGAAACGATGTTGCCGGATTTTGCGGGAGATGAGGTTCATGTGATCACGGACGCGAAGTGTCACACTGTGACCCGACGCGTTAACGGTGGTGTCAGGAATTATTTGCGAGACTTTCACTTTTGCACGGAGATGGAAACATCGGATGACTGGTACATACTTCCCGCCCAGTATGATTTGAGACTTCGAAGCTGGTCGATCGCCCGTTGGCCCGAGTTGCCCGAGGGCATTCTCACGGTTCAAACCGCTTAATTTTGGACCAGAGCTAACATAAATGTCGTACAGGCAAGAGGTCCTGGTTCCATTCACGGTGGGTGGTGCTCAAGTCCTTCCTTTTGGTAGTGTTACTGCTTACTTGTATCCATGTCAGGGAGGGAGGGAGGGGAGGGAGTGTATTAACGGTGGTGGTCCCTAAAAGGAACATACGGGTACTGTACCGATGTACATGTGCTGCTCTAACCTCATGTACACTACAGTCATCTACTATTCGAAACAGAGTCCCGCTATTCCCATCGCTCCTAGGTAGTCCTGTAATCACACAACAAACCTCCTCTAACTTACTCTCGCCCACCCATCCCACGAATCCAAACCCCCCTCTCCCTACATACACATATACTCCCCTAAGAGGTACAAAAAAGATTCATTGCTCAGCGAAGATCACCCGACCTGGAATCGATTACTACATATAAAAACGATGTCGGGATCTAGCTTGTGACCACTGACTTCATTCCAAGCTTCTCTAGCTGTTTATGCAGGAGTGTCTGGTTCAATTTCGGGTTCGGTTATGATGGCTCTGTCTTAAAGGCTTTTCTTTTTCAAATCTGGTTTTCGTTCAACGCTGAGCCGCTTCCCGTGATTTTTCTCTTAATGCGAACCATTTCGAAAGGGAAAATTTAACTTGTACGATCCTCTATGGTTGTTGAATAGTCAATGGTCAACTTAGAAAGATAGTAGTGCATATAAACAATGTTGGCAGCTAGCTCATAGACACTTAATAGCATATGGTGTGCACTTGCTTCAGTTAATGGCACGCATGAAGCTGAGCAAGCAAGAGGCCCCGGTTCGATTCCGGGTTGAGTGATACTTTGGTCGCAAGGTCTTTTTTGTTCCTTTGCCACACGGTCCCTTTTACGATACCACATTCGCATGGGTTGGTTGAAGTTCGAGGAGCAGAATTTTATTTAGTTGACTTAATTTTATTGATCACTCGAGTTGACTTTCTAGATCTTCGTGAGTGGCTGATTTTTGCTTCGTTCAGCCAGATTCCACTTGATAAATACTGTATATACACGAGCTTTGAACGGATGTTACAACCACTTGATGGCACATGGTGTGCACCTGCTTTATCGCTCTGATGCCTCGGTTTATGCAGGAGGCCTCGGTTCGATTCCGGGTCGCGTGATAGTATGTAATGTTTAAAGTTTGCGTTCTTTTTCTCCTTTTCCACGCTTTCGCACTTCGACAAACACCAAGGACCGGAGTTGTATGAAGGTTCGAGGAGCAGCGGCAACAAATGTTCGACCAGTTTTATTACTGAAGTTGATTTCCTCTCCCCGGTCGGTTCCTCGTGAATAGTGCATAGAAACAATCCTGGGATGTAGTGAGCAGACACCTGCCAGCACACCTGTTTGACCTGAAAAATTCACGGCAGTTTGAGCAGGAAGTCCCGGTTCGATTCCTGGTCGGGTGATATCAGGGCGATGTTGCTTTTTCTTTCTTTCCCTTTCAACACTTCTTTCTAGTCTCTCACAGCGGAACAGGTAGGATTGAACTCTGAGGAGGAGAGAGGTTCAACGGTTTCAACCAATTTACCACTGAACTTGCTTTTTATTCCAGTTAATTTCCTTTTTCTCTCCTTGTTTCAATAGGGTCGTTCACAGTTGCCCTTTTTCCGCCCTTTTTCACTCCCTTTTTTCTCCCTTTTTCCCATTCCTTTCGTTTTTCACCCGGTTTTTTTCCCCTTTTCAATTCAGTGGTGTAAGAAGGGTCTAAAAGGGAAGAAATGAACTTTGTAGCTATGAAATTGACCAAATACAAGAGAAGGGTGAGTGCAAAAAGGGCCAGAAAAAGGGCAACTGTGAAACCCCCCGACTGTGCTCCCTTTTTTGAGCCCTTTTTACTCCCTTTTTGTTCCCTTTTGCTTGAAGGTACATGACGTGCATGCTGGGAGGCTTATATACCACAGTGGATACCACATAGACCCATCACTATGAACACCAGTACCCGAATTGGAATGAAAATTATGTGGTTGAAAATTCAAAGAGGCAGTGAAAAAGGGAGTGAAAAAGGGAACGAAAAAGGGCCGGAAAAGGGCAACTGTGAACGACCCTAATGTTCGATGTTCAACCCGTAAACCCTGTATATAAACGATGCTGCTAGTACCTTATAGACACTTGGTAGCACATGGTGTGCACCTGCTTAACCTACATTGGATAACATGTAGTTTATGCAGGAGGTTCCGGTTCGATTCCGGGTTAAGTGATACCAACTTCGCTACGATCTTTTTTTAATTCCCTTCCACACGGTCCCTTTTACGATACCGCATTCACATGGGTTGGATTAGAGTTCGAGGAGTAGACAGGCTCAGCCGATTTTATTGATTTCATTTCGAGGTCAAGTTAATTTCCCTTTCCACAATGAATGTCTTGTCTTCTTCCTCGTAGGCTCGGAAGTCGCTCGGAAATAGTCCATATATTGAGCTTGACACTTAGGTTTTAGACACTCGGTAGCACATGGTATGCACCTGCTTCATGTAGTCCATCGGGTCAAGTGTTCATGCAGGAGTTCCCGGTTCGATTCCGGGTCGAGTTATTCTCTGGCTCGTGCAAAGCTTCCTTTTAGTATTACTATCTGAGTTGATTTCTTTTCCTTCCTCTTGCTCAGAAGTAGTGCATATAACGATGCCGGGAGTTAGCTTGCAACCACCTGGTAGCATAAGGTGTGCACCCGTTTGAGTTGATCTCGTGCAATTGTGCATGCGGGAGGGTCCTGGTTCGACTCCGGTCGGGTGATGGATGGAAAGATGACCAGCTGTTTTTCTTTCCCGTTCTACGCTTCTTCTTCTAACGAAGATCTCTCACCAAGGGATGGGGTTGGATTTGGGTTGGATCTCGAAGAGCGGAATTCTACTGTTTTGAATTGATTTTGTTGAGAACTCAAGTTGATTTCCTTCGTGGGTGGTTGATTTCCGCTTCACCCCACAAACACTACATATGAAGGAGGATTAAACTTGGAGTGCAAACACTCGGTAGCACATGGTGTGCACCTGCTTGACTTTCAGGAAGTTTTCGGTCATGTTTATGCAGGAGTTACTGGTTCGATTCCGGTTTGAGTGTTGGGTTATTTCTGGACACATTTCTTTTCTTTCCCGCTTATACACTTCCGTTGGATTCACAATCTCCGCAATGGATTGGATTAAGGTTCTTCAGGTTGGGTTTAACTTTTCCGCCCGTAGGTAGCATTGGATCGCTCAGAAAATAGTCCATATACTTACCCTAGCTCAAATACCAGCCTGTAGACACTTGGTAGCACATGGTGTGCACCTGTTTGACTTGTAAAAGATCGCACGTACGAGTTTATGCAGGAGGCCCCGGTTCGATTCCGGGTCAGGTGATGCTGGTATAGGAAGCAGTCTTTTTGTGTGCAGAGGTTATGCTGGTTGGGTTCGGAGAGTAGACACTCTATATTATTAGGATTACGCGAAGAAGGATAAAGACAGGTGATTGGAATGTAGTGGTTTGAATTTGTTGCTTGCAGGTAAATCGTATCCCAAAATTCGGCAGAGTGGAGTGGAAGCACGACCAAACTTTAAAGTCGTTATTTCGGCAAGTAGATGAAGGGGTCGACTGCGAGATTGAAGGTGTCGACTGTGAGAATCCTTCAAGCCTTGAGGCTTCAGGACAGGGGTTTGGCATAGAAAAGGTGACAGACGGAAGACAGACAGAGGTCGCCCGGGAATAGTAGGCTTGCATTAACTGAATGAATGGCGATATGAAGGTACCGGAGCGGCGCAGAGGTTGTTAAGGAGAGATACGCGAATAGTTTGCTCGACATGAGAGACATTATCTCGAGTGAGCGAGGGCTAGCAGTGATAAATGGTGCATTATAAGGGATTTTCTGTTTGAGGCATAAGACTAAGGAAATGAGCGCTCGGATTAACTGGTGGTGACTCCGAGTCCAGGATTGGGAAACACCAATTCGAGTCTTCGGAAGCGGGCAGCGGGGACGAACAAGCCGGACGACGCTAGTGCATCAAGGAGTAGGGCGTAGCTATCCCCGGGGAGGCCAGAGCGGAGCTCGTCGTGGTCGTTGGTGGGCGTTGAGGAGGGGAAGGTCCGGCGAATATTTAGTTGCCGACCAATCTTCACCATAATTCGATGCCTTCCCCAGAAAATACATACTCAAGCACAGACACAGCAGACAGGCGCGGTTAGAAATGCGCTTAACAGAGAAGGATAAAGCGAGGATGTGCAAGGCCTCATACACGTGTGGAAGCAAGGGAGCTATACCGAAGTCTCATCCGATGGCTCCGCCGCAACCAATTGCCGGTGCATCTATGCGAGCGCAGGTACATGCGGGAACTGCTAGCAAGAGCAGGGATAAAGATGGCCCCAAGAATAGCGTTGGCGGGACAACTTGAAGGACGACGCGCCTGGCATCGGCATCCGCAAAACGCCATCCGCAAACGCCATCTCCATCCCAACCTCGTCGCCCAGATGCCGGTGTGCATGGTCCTGCGCGAGCTTGCCGCCGCCTTCGTGCGCGTGCAAAGGCCTGTGGTGTTGAGGGAGTGGCCGAGTGCATCTACTTAGTTCGGTGCCGCCCCGCTCAATCTTGTCCTACTCAACCATGGTGGGTGTCTTTTCCCTCTGGTTCTTCCCTGTTCGCCCTCCCCGTTTTGCTTTGTTCCGGGTCAAGAGAAAACTAATCTCGTTTCGTCTTACAGGTGCAACCCCGTTTCTATGCCCCACTTCAAGCACAGGTCCTCGCGCGAGAGGAACCTCACATCCCAGCCCCGCTCGCCCCTTTACCTACTCTCCCCTGCGTCAGCGTCAAGCATGTATGTCGATGTCGACGTCTCCACGCCGTCCACCCCTTAGCCACGGTACCCATCCTGAACCTCACGCCCCCGAAGGTACTGCCCTCACCGACGAGTGTAGCGTTCGCCGACGCGTCCGGGTCGCGCACCGGCGCGCTTCTATTCCCACTCCCGCCTCTTTCACCCCGCTTCTCTCATAACGCCTACCGCCCCCTCCGCTCGCCTGTTTCGCCTACCTCGCCTCTCCAAGTCAACACCAGCGCTGCGACCATCTCCAAACAGCCCAACCACAAACCGTCCTCCCCCTCTTCTGCCGCGCTGACACGCGCGCTCGGGCTGCCGCCGTTGACGTCGACTGGGGTGTGGGTGCGGTTTAGGGGCGAGTTCGGACGAGCTCTCCGTGGGTTCCGAATCGACGTACACGGGCGCGCGCGAGAATTTCTCGCGAATGCGGGGACAACAATGAAATGGTGGCCAACGAGATGGTGGACGGCGGCGTGCGGAAGAGGGGAATGCATGCGCAGGAGGACGACGATGCAGTGTGCACTGGTATCAACAAACTCAGAGGCGTCGCAGGATACCGGCGCTGCTAGCGCGCAAGCGCTCGAGCAGATTTATCGGGCTCCTCCACCCTCTCCTTTCCACCACCGCTCCTTCCATTCCCACCCACTCGCGCACGAAGACCGCAGGAACCGAGCCCAAGCCGCGCCGCACGCTCGACATCTTTATGGCGCCACTTGTGGTGTCCGCTCTGCGCGCGACGGGCGGCAGAGTGGTGGGGAAGCAGAGCACGGGAGCCCGCGTGTCCGGCGTGCGCCAACTGCTCTTCCCAGTCTCAAGAGGGTCAGTCTGGGTTTGACGTACTTGAAGGGCGTGCTCGCACCGCTCCGAGCTGAGCGAAGAGGACGTTTGGGCAGAGAGGATAAGGACGTTTCGGGGTTTGATTGTGGGGTGCCTACTTTTATTGGGCCGATTTACTTTGTGTTCTTTTTCTTTTGGGGGGGAGGGCGAAGCAGAGGCGGCGTCGAGGCTTATTCGCGGGATGCGAGGCAGTCGTTCGAAGGCGACTCCCTTGCTCCATTTTCTTTTTTCGAGGGCGCGCGTGTGCATTGCTTCAAGGTGGAACGTGGATCCACCTTGCACTCAAACTCGACGTGGGCTGCGGCCGCCGGAGATCGTATTCATGCACCACTGGCATCCCGAGGTCTCGCTGGTGCGGCGGCGTGTTTTTATCTTCTTTTTGTTTTGGATTGAATTCGACTTTGTGCGTGTCTGGCTTTCTTTTTGGTGTAGTTGGACGATACTACTCCGACTACCAGCGCTGTTGGGCGCAGAGAGGCCACCGGTGGTGTGCGTGTGTGTTTCTAATTGACTCGGGCTTGTACTAACGAGTCTTTGTTTCTATGCAGACTTCTACTCCATCTGCATCGTTCCCGGCCTTTTCGACGAGCCACATCTCCGGTCCAAGCCGCCGAAACTGAAGCTGAAGTCGACGCAGACAACGAGAGGAGAAGGAGGAGGCACGCACCTTCTCTTCGTCGCCATGGGGGCGGAGCGCTACTTGGCGTCATTACCTTCTCTTGCTCCTACTCCTAACACTTCGCCGCCCCCGCCGCGCGTGATGCTCCTCCGAGTGCCGCAAACGACGTGGAGACTCCGCGGACTCACCGCAACGCCCACGGGACTCCACGATCGCAAACCAATGCTAGGCGCGCGACATCCGCCTCCATCCGCCTCCATCCGGCTCTTTGTCGACCGCGCAGGAGGGGGTGTACGCCGCGCTGGAGATGGGCGTTGGGGTGGGCCCCGTCGCCCGTTGCGTGGTACCCTCTCCGCGTTTGCCTTTGCCCGCGAGTGGGTGTGATGCTGCCGCTAGCGCTTCTACCAGACGACGAGATGGCGCAGGAGAGAGAGGCACGAGCCCAAGCACGGTCTATGCGTATTTCGCCCGATGAGGATGATTGTCCTGTGTTTCCCAGTCTTTGTAGGATGTTGTGGGCGCGATGCTGGGGACTCAGCTCCGCCAGACTGCGTTCCAGTTACAAGATTCCGCTCGGGGGGTTGGTGCGTGATGCGTATCGTCTGCTGGGGATTCTGATTTTAGTGCTTTTTAGGCCTACTACTGACGACATCCAAACCGACGACGACGCGGAGGAAGCATACAATGACGACGCAAATCTTCTTACGCCCGCGGAAAGGGACTTGGAATTTCAGACTCAATCTGGTCAATTTTTTTTTGGCATTCCGTGCGTTTGCGCTCAAGTGCACGGTTTTCTGCGTCACATTGGGCTTGGTGTTGGGAGCCTCCTGCGCATGCGTCGGGTCCCTTGCGTTTCCAGTCGCTGCGTTGGAGCCGCCTCCCGGCGCTTTCTTCGTCCGAGGGGTGGGACGAAGTGGATATGGAGTGGGCGGGGAGTTCTGCTTCCCCTCTCCTTCTCTCGTATTGCCTCACCCACACTACCTGCAAAGGGTATTTCAAGGGAGGCACAAAGGCGATGGATGGGCCGCCCTCTCGACTCGGATTATTTCTTTTGGTTATCGCGTAAAATTTTGTCATTGTAGCCACGGCAGAAAAAATACCATGACGCTTCCATAAATTTGAGACTCGTGCCAGTCCAGCGACTTCACGCTCGGCCTTTCCCGACTTGACCGTTTTGAACTTTCCGCGAGACTCGTTACCGCCCGCCCGGCCCGGGGTTGACCGCTTTCCTTTCAACTCCCATGAGACAGTGAGTGTTGCTGCCAGTAATCCGCGCAATCTCTCAGTGTCTCCTCAGAAATACTTGCGAACACCTCTGCTCTGAGCACTGTGGCCCTGCTGCGAGAAAATTGGAGCTGAACCCCTGCAGCCCATACCCCGAACTACTTCTCAGCGACGCGATTCCCTCCGATCTGCAGGCCCAAGAGATCAAGAAAACTATACGTGGCGTGGATGAGGATATCGCCGCCTTGAATGCCGAAATAAAACGTCTCCAACGCTCGATGGACGCGCTGATCGCGCAGCGCACGGACCTCGAGCGCTTTGCGCATGACCATCGTGGCGTAGTTTCCGTCGTGCGCAGCCTTCCGCGCGATATTCTGGTCGAGATATTTGGCCGCTGTCTCAGGAATTACGGTCCGTTTACCCAGCCCGAGGCCTCCTCTTTGAAACCTCTGCTTCTGGTTTCCCGTCGATGGCATTCCACCGCATTGACTTCGCCCAGTCTGTGGCGGTACATTGACGGGAACAAGCCTGAAACGCAGGGTCTTCTCAAGTATGTTTCTATGCAACTTGAGCGCTCCGCAGACGCACCACTTTCCATCACTTTCCGTACCTCCACCGACGGAGCCGCGCAAGCTCTACCGCTGCTCCTGGACGCCTCCCCACGGTGGGAGGAAGCCCGACTCAGCCTCACTCCTACGGATGTCAGGCACCTTTTTGCGTCGACACATGCATTCCCGGCCTTGAAAAGACTCACTATGACTATCCTGAGGGACGGAATGACTGGCAGCCATTCTTCTGAGTCCACTCTTGGACCGGCATTCGAGTCCATTCCAGCATTGGAGGAGCTCTCACTGTGGACGGATTTTGGATT